AAACGTTGGTACGTTTAAATAATGTAACAAAAATATAAAGAAAAGTACTGCTAAGGAACTTAAAAACGATGGACTTGAAAATATGCCAGAAATCACAGCAAAGCGCACCTTATGGGTCAGAATTTGAATAAGCCTATTGATACACTCCTCCGGATCGACCTCGGCGGTGTTGAGGCACAGTTCGGGATTAAGGGGCACCTCATAGGGTGAGTTGATTCCAGTGAAGTCCTTTATTTCACCGCGACGCGCCTTCACGTAGAGAGATTTCGTGTCGCGTGCCTCGCACACCTCTAGTGGGGTGGAGAGGTACACCTCAATGAAGGGCAGTTTCGCCTCCTCGTGGAGTTCTCGGGCCAATTGACGTTGCTGAAGGAGCGAGGGAATGGATGACTTTCAGTGGTTATTTAGTCTTGTAAGGCATTCAAGTTAAGGTGAGAATTTTGCGTTTCAATTGAGCAAAAAAAACGTATTAAGCCCCGCAAACACCATTTGTTCCTCGCCACTGCCTCCTGCTGTTACATTTTCACACATATTCTGACATTTGAATAATATTCAGAAAGTAACTTTAATATGCAAAGACTTACCGGTGAAGCAGAAACATCGATACTAAAACGATGACTTTCAAGGAGATCAGAATGTACTAGGTGTTCAAATTTACAAATGTCTGAGAATAACCGACATGACTTCACAATTTGCATGCAACGTTTTATCACTTCTCTCTGATGAAAGAGTGGGTTGCGGTTCACTATCCAAATATCTGTGTCGTCCCATTCCAGGTAAGCCAGCAATTCTAATGCAACAAGAAATCATGACCCGAAGGTATGGGACATCTAAATGCTCGATTACCACCAAGAAGATATCGATCAGCAGCGGAGATACGAAAACTCAGCAAGAAATGATTCAGTATTCGACTTTACCGCCAAAGGGTATATATGATAAAAATTACAAATTACACTTTTTGTTATGATACCAAAGTACAATTCCAATAAGCGGTCTCTAAACGGACTACACATATTCCGAAGAGATGATTTTTAGCAATGAAAACCACATTGAAATAAGTAATAAAACTTAGTGCAATTTAACGTTGCCCTGCTTTAAGAAGCTTCGGTAAAATTTCGAAACTCAGGAATTTTTACAATCCTTACGAAAGGCGACATAGTATAGCTCCCACTCAAGGTGTATTAGATAAAAATTCAAGAAACACAATCTGCACATCAACATTGTATACCTATGACTATAAGCCTTTTTAATAGTGTGAGCAAATGCTGAAAGATACACTTTTTTGACTCTCCAACACATCAGCATGACTGACTTTTTCAAAGGGGCTAATGAAACTGGTGATGGCACAAGTGCCCGAATCAGCAAAGAGCCTTGCCACTTCAGCCACCCGTCGAATGTTTTCAGCTCGATCGTCATCGGAAAACCGAAGATCCTTGTTCAAGCCCAAACGAAGGTTGTCACCGTCAAGAGCGTAGGCCTGAATGCCCATGGAAACAAGCCTTCGCTCCAGGGAAAACGCCAGGGTGGATTTTCCTGAGCCACTCAGACCTAACAAACAAAATTTGTGCTTTATCCTAAATAGAACTCGAAAAGAGAACATCAAATATTGTGGTAAAACAGAAGTAGCGCTATTTGAAATGCCTTGAACATGCAGGTCAGAAGCAAACATTCTCAGACATATTTATAACGCAGTGGAAAGGCGTTGAATTTCATAACTCAATTCTATTACTAGGTTGCCCACCTTAAAACTAACCTGTGAACCAAATTGTGCAGCCCATGAATTTGCTTTTGTCGCCAGAGGCGATAGCCCTATCATCGCGCGTAACAAAGTGTTCCACACGCACAATATTTTTGGGAGAATTGAAAGTCTAACGAAACAATATTAGAGCATAGCATTGGGCGTACATTGCAATATTGTGACAAGGATTATGGTAGAAAGTCAAGGATCCGTGTGCTCGTCCGCTAATTTTAAGCAATAAGCTTGAAAACGTACAAAGTTGCTGAACCAAATGATAAGGCAAACCAAGAAATATGAGCCAGCCAGATTGCACATGAAGCAGCATGAGAACTTAGAATTAAATCAGATGCTACCGTCAATAAGTACGTTTAAATGTAGTAAATTCTTTCTGAATCTTATTTATTTTGAGATGCAAAATACGAAATACTGGAATATCAGAACTTTTACTAGCGATCAATCTTCTCACATTGTGAATACCAGGCATAACTGAGGAATGATGTAAAGAATCCAATGAATGGTCTTATATACCAACTGTATTAAATTCAGGGTTAAACCATTTCTAGGTCATGAAAATGAATAATTAAAAGGATAAAAATATTGTCTCATACCTATAATAATGCGGCAAGACACGACGTTTATTACCCTTAAGCAATTTGTTAGTGTTGGTGACTAAGTAATTTATGCATTATTTACTAAAATTAGTGTGTTTTTTGTACACAAGGGTTTTACTAATACTTATACCTAAAGATCAGTTTTGAAATTGCTAAAAATTGCTTGAAAGTGCAAAGTCATGCTTAATTCAGCAATACAAATGCATTTTACTTATTTTGCTGTAGACATTTTGCTAAGTTCCGGTTTTGAAAAGATAACTCACATGACACTCCAAAATTTACGAACTTCTGTTATTAGGTTCTACAAATCTATTACATTAACTGTTGCAAGAAATGATTCAAAATTACCTTCTATGCAAGAAGCTTCAAGTGTAAAACCATATCTGATGGGAAGACCGTCGGAATTATCCGAGGTAGAAGCGAATTCAGAACGCATATATCCCTGAATTGTACGCCTTTGTGGCGCCCCGAGACTTTTTGAAGACGTAAGAAGACACAATACTAAAGCGGAGTATACATATTCAGCACAGAGAAGGTGTTTGGGCTATTAATATGGCCCGAAGGCCAGCCTGCACTGCAGGGTACAAGAAAACAACTTCAAAAGCTCAAAAAGTGGCGCCTCACTAATACCGAGGGCTAAACCACCATTGTATTACACCTCCCTACAGAGATTGTCATTCAAGATGCCCTTATTTAATCGGCCTGTCAGTTCAAATGGCCCGAAGTCTTGGAAGGAGAAGGTGAGCGATTAGTCCTTCACACAATTAACGTGTTATTCATGAGGGATAATGTTCGTTCAAGCATTTTCTAATTACTATAGCAAGTAGCCTTATGTACAGTCTCTAGCGGTTTGGATCCTCCTCGAAGCTACAGTACACTATACCGGGTAATATACGGGTGTAGTTTTTGGACAAAAACGGACTGACGTGTCCGGTAGTCCATGTCACAGGGCGGAATGATAGCATAGGTGGGTTCGTTGTTAAAGGAAGCATATTATGGTATCTGTCAAAGACAATTTCTAAGCTGTTTTCAAAGTTAGTAGATAGGTTGATCGCGCAATCAACTGGAACTGAATTTAAAGCTGTATGACTTCACACCGTAGTTAATATAGCATATAATGGCACTTCACTATTTGGTCGTTCTATTGGCACTAGTATAGCGCTGCTTTTAACAGAGAAATGATGATTTCACGAATTGCTAAAAAATTTAATTTAATTGGTTTAATTCCAATAGCAGCAGGAGTTATTAGTCCTAAAGCTGATTTGCTGTCAGCGGACATAATGACTAAGAAAGTGACAGTATAGGAGCAAATATGTTTTTCTCTACCCTACCAGTGTGTTGAACAAACCTGCGGCGAATGAGAATTTTGACGCGATTAAGAGAACGCTGAAGGCGGTTATTCTCCCTTTGTTTGAAGGCAGTGAAATCGATGGATGTCGTCTTGGCTGTGAGCAGGGTTCAGAATCCAACAATAGTCTTGATTGCTAATTTTTTTTAAAAGCCTTTCTTTTCTTTTTCTTATAGAAGGCTACATGCCGATCCATAGTGCGAAGTTAATAAATGTGCATAGTTCGTCATATGAACATGAAATTTGAAGTCAGATTATTAGTCAGAACAAACACAAGGCGGGTTTTGACGAAACTATGTTCACTTTTACTGTGCCCAATCATCCGCATATACTATTCTCCCATTCTTGCTAAATGCAGAATTGTCAAGACAGTCCAATAACCAAAGAGCTGCATTAACTTTCCATCAAATTCGTACTACTTTATAACTAACCTCTTTGGACAGTCATGGAGCAAAAAAATCAAAAGTGGTATTCATGACCCTCTTATGGGAGTGTAGATTAATCGGATGCACTAACTGATATTTAGGCATTGGAGCTAGCTATCGACTTAGTAACCAATATTTTGGCTGAAGTTGGTTTCCACAATCACCCTTACATCGCCTTGTGCATTACTGGAGGCGTTAGGCATCCGATCATTTAGGAAGATTATTTACTTTCAACATAAAAGGCTGCGTAGCACGATGTGATATTTTGATATTTTGTTTGTCTGTGCTTAATTCGGCGGGCCTTTCAGCCCCCGCATTTTGCACTTCTGTTTAGCGGCATGGAATCGGATCATGGCAGTAGACTCAACCCTTCTGTGTGTTGGTATCACAATTTGTACGGTGATACGATGACTACTTACAGATTCAGAGAAGACTCGGGCCACCACAAAATAAGATGTTTTGGCTCATGTCTCGAAATTGCGCCACGTCAGTCTTAAAATGCAACAACTATTAAAATATTACTACAACTTTTCTGCAGGTTTAGAATTTTGGACGGTAGTATTTTTTGACATACAATTATAAATCCACAGAAGAGGAACATGGTAATCAATCATGAGAGCAATGCTAAATCTTATCAAATATTTAACTTCATGGGTACGGGGACGCATCAAAATTTGCTAGTGTGCCTGATTCTGAAATTATCACTAATACAAGTACTTTAACTCCCTTTTAAGATTAGTGCGCATCTTGAAATAGTTCGCCAATAGGTAGTGGGTGTGCTGGTGAAGTGGTTTGCTGCTTGGTTTGGAAGCCGTTTTTGCTCACGGTAATTTTTATGGGTTCACAAATGTTATCCTTCTTGCGCCGAAAATTTTCTTCACAAATTCCCTCCTCATAAAATAGCGATTTTATTGTCTGTTTGACTTATAACTATCTATTTTGCTTTTTACAATATTCTTGTGGGCTGGTCTCACGTCCATTTTTTCGTTCTTTTTATGTTGCTTCATATTTACCCATACCACTAGATGACACCATCCACCATCTCGACACCGTTGAGAAGGGCAGTCAGATATCTGGCAACGGCTCTGCCGCAACAAATTCGGATCGATTCGGCTAATGGGCAGATGCCCTACACCACTACCAACAGGTGGCACGCAGCCATGAATTTTCTGCCCAAGCCAAGCAAAGTTCCGCGCTACCATTACCCGATCATCCTCACCAGCGTCTTCATCTTCACCATGTACTTCGCTTTCTTAAGGGAGAAGAATGAATTCGATTTAATCTTTGAACAACCACCCCGCCCACTAGCGCCGTTACAACCTACTCAGGATCACTAGTGCGTCTAGTTGCAATACTTGAACTTCTTTTCCAACATCTTTTTAATAAACATTGTGTCACGTGTTTCAAAAGCTAGGTATTGGTGCGGTGTTGAACCCGAAATTTGCTAGTATTCTCTGTAGGCACTATATCTGTATCGGGGACGCATAACGTTATAACTTATATGATAGGTAAAACCCAGAAATTATGGCTGTTGTATTTTACCATTCCTGAAATTTGCTATTAGACGTTGGGGTACATTTTTAAAAGAGTAACCAATCTTATAGCACTACAACTCCGATACTAAGGTAGGGAGTGGCAATCTCAATGCCTCCAAATAAGGCTACTCCATTGACTAAATGAATCTTTGATAATAAGTTCAAGTAGAATATAGATACTGCGCACACTTGAGCGCCTTTAGGGTGGTCAAATTTTGGGTTCATTCGTATTGCTTCATTAGCTATATCTACTAACACCACTATTAGAGAATCGGTGTGCATTAAGGAATAGGGAAGGTTTGAAACTACCTGAAGGAACTATAGGAGGTTTTTCTTGAGAAGTTATGGTATAAATTCCCTCAATGCTAGTATTGTTCCCATAAGGCGAGAAGCTATATTCCCGTAATGCTACCAATCTTAATTGGTTGTTGAAATGGTAGCTACTTAATCAGTTTGCTTTTAAGTTTTCTATGGCTTTTTTTCATTACATTGGTTACTATTCTTATCTCTGTTGTGTAATGAGTCTGTATTAACCCCCGATTTCCCATAAAAGAATCGTTAAATGCTAACGGATAATCGTTGCACTCATCAATGATCATAATCGTCTAGTTTTTGTGAGACATTTGCATGAGCGTATTTTGATTTGGTGAATGGATATGATCTCCAGGTGAGCGAAATGTCATTCTCGCTCTTGGCCTTCCCTCATAATACACACCATTAAATACCTAGTTTCCTTTAATAACTATTAAAACACAAAGCGAAATTAAACTGAAAACTAACTCGATTTTCCGCCAACGAGGAGAATGGGGACGAACCTGCGTCCAATGTTTCTGTTGCTACACCTTGTTCTCGTCATCCCTCCATACGGTAAACACAGAAGAGATGAGTCCTCTTCGTCCCACCAAATATCCCAATGCGAGACGCGCATTGTGCTTTGAGATGCGTCTAGCCAGCCCACATTCTAGCAGTTTTACCACCTGTCTATTGTAGAGGAGATTCCAGTTGATGGCAAAGGTTGGCCAATGCCTAGCGACATAGTAGATAAAGAGAGGCCAATCTCTAGCCAATAGGCTTTCATCCTCCCGATGGATAATGTCCGGAATCCATGTTAGCAAGCAGTCCATAACTGCGTTGCTTGGCACTGAGTGTAGAATGTACGCTAGAGTACCATGGAAACATGCATACGAATCTGGATATCGGTCCATTGCATCTAGCAGGGCAAAAGTCATATTTGAAATGAGAAGATTTCGGCAGACTGTTTGTAGACGACAGAAGAGGGGATAACAGCAAGCTAGGAAGGCGAGAACACAGCAGCCCTCTTCGCGAACTGTGGCATAAGCGCTCTGCATGGTGAGTAGCAGAGCAGGGATCCAGACATTCAATCTAGAGACGAGGCAATCCCCTATCGGCGGCCAAAACATAATGCCGTGGAAACAGGCGAGAAGACCCATCCAAATGCCGCTATTTTTGTTGGTGTTTGGACAGGTGAGGAGGTAACATAAGCGCTCAACAAGATCGTGGGAGAGCTGCCGAACTCTTATTCCTTCGTCGCTTTCCTCTTTTTCCGTAAGGATCAAGCCTAGTTTTACCATTTCCAGTCGCCGTTGTCGCATATTTCGTAGTTCGCAGAGCTGTGGTAGCATTACCTCACAGCTCCGATCACTACCAATTTCCACCCACTTGGTTTCGAACACAGGTCGTATGTGATATGCGAATTCGGGAATGTGATATGCTACCTCCTGTAGGATGTCTCGAGAGGGATTGCTCAAACCAATGTGGAAGGCCTTCTCAAAGTTCACCTCACTACTGCACGCCACAACTCCCGCCGAAGGGCTTTGTTCTTCCACAGAAAGATTAGACGATTTTCTCCCACATTCCGGGAAGCTGTCGTCATCGCCGGAAACTTGTTCCGGTTTCTTGATGCATTTAAGTGCAGTGATGCGAGAAACGGGACATGGTGGACCTCCGGTCAGGTACCCAGAAGTGAACATCTCCTTCGCTGCTGCGAAAATCAACTCGGAATTTGATTTTGAAGGGTAAAGCGCAGCTAGCATATCGTCAGAGGACTCTGTAGTTTCGATGATCTTGGCAACGAAGGCCTGCAAGTCTTCGGGTAAGATGCTACGTCGACGAAGAACCATTTTGTAGAGCATGGGGTTCTTCAAAATTGTGTTTTTGTATAGTTCACGCAGCCGAACAGCATCCCCTACCGCTAGGGGCATTTGTAGCTTGTAGTTCTTCACCATGCAGTCGAGAAGCACCTCAGCTTTCGGCTGATCGGGCTCCACAGTGTGTTTAAGCATCGTATAGAGGCCCTCCAGTCCTCCTGCAACTGTGATGAAACGCCTTCCCAAACCATAGACCTCACGTTCTCGAATCTGGTCCTCTGAACCCACGGAGACCTTATCGAATACGTAATTCTCCATTGCTTCCACCGCCTCAAACCAGCACATTGGGTTGGGAGCTCCTGCAGCTGTGATTATCTGTGCGCAAACCAATGTAGTTTGTGTAGACATTAAGTCTGGAAATCGTGATCTCGTTGTGCGTATTTGCTGTAATAAGACCTAATTCTACACCTTTAAATAGGGACATTGTCATAGTGGTACTACGTGTACTGAATCCTGAGTTCATCCTATTCCGCGCTAATAGCCGGTGCATATGTTATGGGCCAAAGATCGTTCAAGATCACAAGCGGCAATGTTAGGGGGTGCGATAAGAAGGTTCTCTTGAAGTAAGGTGTGCAGCCATAAATTATTTACGGAAAAATTCAAAAAACAGCACAATGATGACAAACTTGGCTACGGTAAGGCATTTAAGCACTGTAATACGTTTCTGTGATTAGGATGATAACCTCCAGGCTACCACAACAGCCATCTTCCGTAGGAATTCAACCAGCCCTTGATCAAAGCGTAGCCCATATTGCAGTGAAATTATACCAGCCGAATCTCTTTTTGGGTAGGTGAACACAGGAAAATCGGTAGCGAAAATTTACGATTTAAAGAACTAGAAGCATATTGGTCACAAAGCCAGTACTGGTGACGGGCTAGAGCAAACTGCCCTAGGATAGCCTACATCGACAAAACCTCAACGCGAAAATTTTTCAGACGCTAGTTAAACATCGGACTACGTGCATAATTTTAGGTGACTGTTTTAAAGCATACATACACCTTCTGATTTCCGAAATTACTCACGCTACTACTTATATTTTGGTTAGGGAAATGAGTAATGAAACGAATACAGTTTTTAAGTAAACATCTGATTGTGGAGTATGATAGGGGAAGTTTAACAAAATTGTTAGCTTTGTGTATTTAATGACAATATCTCATGTAAGCTAAAATGTGAAAATATGATGTAAGTTGGTACTAAGTAAGTGGACGAATGGTCATCTGAAATAAAACAGTGGAGTCGTGCACCTCAGGTTGTACCCCAATTATCAACAAACTTGCAGTTGGCATTGTTGGATTACTATGGTATAAAAATCACAAGTCAAGAAAGTAAGGAAGCTGGATAAATGAATAAAATCATTGTTACCCCTTACGGTCGCGCGATACAAAAGGAATTACCGGTTAACGTCACATCTTGTTTTATCAATTCAAATTCCCGAGATTCCCCTCTGACTAGTTGATAAGTTTATAAAAAAGGAATGTTTTATCTCGTTTACTATGCTAAGTTTGCGAGATCAGGAACTCGTCATCATATGCAACAGTAAAAATGCAATGTCAAACATCCGCACCATCCAAGTCAAACTGATCATGTCACCAAGTTTTTACACTGGTTTTATAGGGTAACCAAGTATGTTCATGTCGTTATTTATACCGGAAATAATATCAGAAAGCCCCCTAAAATATAATATTTACTGAAAATAATTACATTCGTAGTGGTAACAGTCACTTCGCAACAAGACGCACGACCAGTGCAAAGCCTACTTTTATCAAGGATTTTGTCTCTGAGCCTGAGGCAACTACCTTTCTAACTCACTTTCACTTGTCAACTGTGCAGTTCCCATGCGACTGTCTAATTGATTTGAAAAGTGTTAAGTAAATACAAAA